CTTCATCTGAATTGTTCAGGACCTTAAAAATGATTGAAACCTTAAGAGGGCAGATTCAGGTTGAATGTTAGTTAAGCAATTTGGAAGCAGAACCAAGTACTATAAGAGGTAAACATATCCACTTCACTGGATATATTCAAATTGAGGCAGAGAGTCAGCTGTCTGGGATACTTTGGAGGCCTATATCTAGCAGGGAGTTGTACTTGATTATCCCATATCAGGGGTGTCAAACTCGCAATGTCACGTGACGTGTCGCGATATATCGTGACTTTTTTTCCATTGCCGGCAATGGGGTGGGTGCGGTTTCGGCATGACGCATCAGGCCAACGGTTTGACACCCCTGACCTATATGCTCCTTTCCAAATATACAATTGGAAAGTTCAAAAGTTAAATTTTCAACATTTGCGGAAGCCCTGAAGACAAGAAAAAAACATGATACATAACTCAGAACCTTTACATACTTCATTCAGAAGTAAACAGTCTCTGTGCTAAAACATTCCCTTCTATTGCTAAGGTTCTTTGATCTAATCTAACAAAAAGTCTGCCAATAGAATTGTGCATGGTTCAGGTCAATCCTTCTAAATATTTTTTTTTACCCTGGAGGAAACTTTCAAATAATTTTCAGATCAAGGAAATTTCTGCATAAAATGGGGGAAAAAATCACAATGCAACGTACTTCTTACCTGCATAATCCACATTTGACAATGTTTATAACAATGGCAAACTTGCAAGTGCTAGTATTGTATGGCGTGCAAAGATAAAAACACAAGCAATGTTTTGTTTATCAGGATCCAGGGGCTCCACAGAAACCTAGTTAAGGCCAGATTAACTATACAGTGATTAGGAATCCTTCCCACGTCCCAACAGTGAATTATCCAGTCCACAGTAAACTGATTCAATTAGTGTATCTCAGCCTTGTGAACTTTAAGTTATCTGGACTTCAACTTCCAGAATTGGGAGTTGATAATAATCTTGTGCTAAATGTTTATGATGTTTGATTTTCATTGCAAGAGTAATGTGAAATGTCTCTCTCTCTCACACACACACCCAAAGAAAACAGAACCTCTCATTATCCATTCTCTCATTTTGCCATGCATTGTTTTCCCTTGATCTTGTGGTGAGCTTGGAAGTTATCCACTTCTACATTATCATACTGCTTTGACAGTCTCATTGTCAAAATATGCTATATAAAAACATTCAGTCATCTAGTATGTCCTATTCTAAAGCTACTTCTAGTTTTGGTGATGCCAATCTTACAAGCATGGAGAGAGGAAAATGAAAAAAAGTCATTCTCAAGTGGGGCATAGTATAGTATCAATTTCCTGACAGTTAGAACAATTAATCAGTGGAACAACCTGCCTACAGAAGCTGTAAACTTCTTCTCTAATATTATTTATGGCCCAAAGACCCAAAGCTAGGTAATAATTTTCATCAGTGACTGAAGTTCCTGTTGATAAAATTCATCCTTTTAAATACTTCCCATTTTAGTCTCTGAAAACAAATAACTTCTAAACCGTGGTTGGTCTTTATAAGCTGAGTTAGCACAAAATATAGTGGAATGTGATATTTGAATTGCCAGCATTTTATAGCAGTTCTACGGGGGCTTAATGATTGAAGATCATCTACCAATTCCCACTTATATTGAATGGCAGAGTGTAAAAAAAAAATACAATTATTAAAGCTGACCATGAGTTGAAGCTTTATATACAACTAAATCGAAGGACTTTTGATATGTGTATGGTGCGCATGCATGCACAGACCCAAATCAGTCACTGAGCTGAAGAGGTGGGAAAATTAGCACTATGAGAATTAAAACCAGATATGGTTTGACAAAACAATTCCAGTGTGAAGCATCTTGCATACTTCTTGATCATTTTAGCCTTTTCTGCACAACTTTCCAGAGTAGATGGTGGAAAAAATGGTCTCACTTCTCACCACTGAGCCACTTCTGAGGTATGACATAATTCCCTCACTCTCCTGGAAGCTCAACAGGAGAATGAGACCCATTATTCCCTCAGGGCCAGAGAAAAACAAATGGGTCATTCCCCCAAATCTTACTGAGGTCAGTTAAATAATAAAGATGGAAAGGAGCAAGACGGTAATCACGATTTCTGTCAGATCAAATGTAAAAATACATATATCAAAGCATCAATCTTCCTGAGTTCCACTCAATTTTCCTTAGTTTTATAATGAAAAGAAACAAAAGGTGTTTGTAGAATGGGTAAAGTATCAGTACAGGACTGGGAAAATATGAATTCAGATCACTAAATTTCTGTCCATTTAACATATACAGAACATGTCACATTCTGTCGAGAGACGTTCTCTGAGGATGGGCTCCAGCACGACTCTGGAAGTTTGAAAGACTAAACCTCTGAGACTAAACACTTGTTGGAAGTGTTACAAAACTCTTATGTTGTTTTTGCTTTAGCGGAATAACATAGTTACCATCTGCAAAAACAAATCAGGTTTTTTTTTAAAAAAACAAAACTTCATCCCAGCAAGCCAAATAACATTTGGAAAGGAACTGTCTTAGCCACTTAATGAAAATTCAAGAAACGGGGAGTCCAATGAAACCACTTTATTCCATAGTTAGATGGCTGTCATAAAAAAGGCCTCTTCCTGCCTCTCAGTCTTTTTACCGCTGCTGAAGATGCCACATGAATCTCTCATAGATCTTATTTTCACAAAGATGTAACTAGCACTGCTCTTTAGAGCTCTCCTGGCCAATCTATGGAATACTTTGAAGGCAATCTTATTATAAGCAGTATGTCATTGTTTGATTTTGTCGCTAATCAAAATGAAGTAGTATCATAGAATCATAGAGCTCTATGATTCTATGATACTACTTCATTTTGATTAGCGACAAAACTAACCCCCTGCCCAAGGCAGGAGTCCTTATTCCATCCTGGACTAATGGCTGTCTAATCATGTCTTGAAAACCTCCAGCAATAGCTCACCTATTAACAGCCACAACAAACTGAGATAGAAACAGATCTCAGAGATAAATGGAAATAATAAAATCTATTCCATCCATATCCATTGTAGCGTTGGTCACTAAATGAAAAGTTGTATGTCAAGGGCTACCTATCCCATCTACTGGGACTAAAAACAAAGGCCTTGTCTATGATGGCACCTCCCAATGGAATGTCACTCCCCTGGGGATAAGATTGGCATCCACCTTGATATTTTCCTGGAACACCCTGAAGATGTGGTTCTGTTGGGGATCCTGGGGACCCCATATTGATACGGAGCCAATCAAGTGACTGGTTTGATTATGCTTGTTGGGGGGGGATTATGGATTTTATATTGTGGATTTTTAATGTTGAAAGCCACCCAGAGTCACTTTGAGATGGGCAGCTATATGAATTTAATAAATAAATATGTAAAAAGGAAGCAATAATATGAAGCACAATGTAGTACACACTAAAAGATCACAGTACAGGTAGTCCTCTCTTAACAACTACAGTCATTAAGTGGGACAGCACATGCCCAGACTGTAATTGTACTGGCATTTTCTCCATTCACTTGGAAGCCCGCCGTGAAGCTTGCAAATGGTAATCATGACTGTGGGGATGCTGCAATGATTGTAAATCACATTAGTTGTGAAGCACCCAAATACTGATTGCATGATTAAAGGGATATTGTGATGGTCATATGTTCAAGTCATTAAGTTACTTTTTCAGAACCATTGCAACTTTGAACAATCGCCAGACAGAGAAGTCAATAACTGAGGACCACCAAGGCTATGTTTTTAACTTTTTCAGAAGGGAGATAACAATTTCATCCTAGTTTGACCCCCTCCAACTACCAAAACCAGACGAAAACCAGTAGCTTTTCTCAGCATGATTGAACTGGTTGGGCCAGCACTAGAGGGGAAATGCAGTTCTGCAGGAAACCCAGTGCAAGCCATAAAGAGAAGGTAGAAGGAACTATTTAAACTGAATAAGTGATGCACACAACAATACATGTAGATGCAGAAATGTAAATTGTTGTATAGTTTTATAATCCCAAGAATAATCCATACATGAACAGTATAATGGAGGAATGTAGCTCACATCAGGCTCAAGGTTTTGCTTACAGCATCACAGAAGTAATAAAATCAGTTAAATTACAATTCTCATACATTTGGAGATTTTCCACGATCTGCCAGAGTAAGGTGCAAATTCCTTTCTAATTAAAACTGAGGGCTAGTAAATCAGATGTGAAGATGTATGTTTGTTGGCAACTTTTCTACTATCTGTACCAATGCTCCTCTAGGTTGCTTTGTTACAGTTACCAGATCTGGACTACAAAAATCCAGATATTTCTTAGATGGCAGCAAAAAGATATTGAAAACTCTTAACTGCCAGAGAGCAGTCTCCCACATTTGGTTTCTACCTTTCTTCACACAAGGGAAAATCGGAGAAGATGCATTTTAAATTAAACATATATTAATGTTTTATGCAGAAAGGACATTAGGAACAGTATCACTAAATCAAATGAATTAACACTAGCAGTTCCGGAACCTTATGGAACCATCGACTTATCTTTTTTTCACTATAAAAGAAAGTTGCGCAAAACTTTCCCGCAGATCATTTCAAAAGGAAAAGAAGCAAGGGAAAACATTTCTGGATGTGGCGTTGTTTGCAGCTTCCTGCCATACTTCGTGGGAAAGAAGACAAAAGCGTTCAAAAGATACCAAATAGCTAAAAACCATATCCATCATACTTTTGGGAGAGAAAAATCAAACTTTTGGGTCTGCCGGAAGAGGCCAAGGGGGGCAATTTCCAGACCTTTGGAAATGTCACGAGGCAAAGAAAGAGAAGGCAGGGCGGGAACTGAGGTCGGGTCATAATCGGGGACCTCTTCAGCGGCCGGCCGGACCCGGCTTCAGCTCGCCCTCCAGCCGCTTCGCCTTTTGTCTGCAGCAGCGGCTCCACGAGGGAGGCGGAGCCTCGGCGGTAACTTTGGGCTCCCCTAAACCACCTTTTGTTGTCAGCTGGGCGTGACGTCAGAGGCCGCCGCCGCCGCGCCAGGCAAGGTTGTGTCCACATGTGACCAGCTGAAACTAGTTTGGAAGACACAAAGGGAAAGCGAGGGAGATAAGGAGCCGATAGCAGGGCAGGCGGGGCAGCGGAGCCAAGCCAAGCGGCCGGGAAAAGCACGAGGCAGCCTTCCGCCAGAGACGCACCCAGGACGCGCCAGTTCAGCCCTCCGCATCCATCCAGGCAAGTCCCAACGGGCGAGTTCCCACGGCGCGAAACTTCGCCGTTGGCCCGGGAGGGGCACCCCAAAAAGAAAAAAAGAGGCAGGAGGCGCCTCCGAGCCTTCGCTCTGTGAAAAGAGCAGCCCCCAGCCCGTCCCGTCTTCGCCTCCCCGGACCCCCGAAAGGGCAGGGTGCAGGGCTGGCTGCGTTTTTTTTCCAAAAGAGCTTCTTCGCTCGCTCTTCCTTCTCTTTCGCGCGCCCACGTTTCAAGGTTTCCCCGGGCGAAAGTCCCACCTTAAGGACGCCTCTTTCCAGCTCCGCTTCAACGGAGGCTCTCCAAGAGAATGGCGGGGGGGGGATTGTCCGAGAGGCGGCCACGAAGTTGGGGGTGGTGGTGGGAGCGCCGCAGTCCGCCTTTCGCCACCAGTTGCGTGGCGCCCGCCGAGGCTCTCCAGCAGAGGATGCTCCCGTTAGCCAGGAAGTCCCTTCCTCGGAGAGCAGCGCGCCTGAGTGAGCGCAGGGCTGGAGGGGGAAGCGACCTGTTGGGTTTCGATCCCGAATCCTCTCGGTTTCCCCCCCCCCCCCCGTCCTGTCCTCGAGTTTTGTTCCCCTCGGCCTCCTGTGGGATGGAGAGGTGCGCGGGTGGGTAACTTTTTGCGGGGCAAAATTCGTTTCCAGGCAGAGCTTCCTGTGCGTGGGTCCTTGAAGCCTCGCTCAGGAGCCACCTGTACGGAGCTGCGGGCTGTCCCGAGTCAGCCTTCTACAAGCACCCCGGCGGAGATTGAGAATCCCAACAATTTAACAATATCTTTAAAAGTCTGTGTTGGTGGGCGTTGAGAAAAGGGTTGGAATAAAACGTCTCTTTGCTGGATCCAGTTGAAGTAATTGTTCGCCGACCTCTGGGTCCCTGATGTGTTTTCCTCCTTGTAGCTTTTCTGCTCTGCACCAACTTGCTCGAACTACCTGGAAGATAAGTTTCTTTGAGCTTCATGCTAGTTAATCAGAAAGACCAAGACCGATGGGTAAAGGGGATGCCTGCACACACTGAAAGAGAGAGAGTGGTAAAATGAGGGTGGAGGTTCCTTCTCCAAACTTGGTTTCCAAATATTTCGTTACCTGGTTAGGTAACATCTTCACCAGAGTTTAGCCCCTAAATTACCTAGCCTGGTAATGAAATGTTTGGAAGCTAACTCACAAGTTCGGAGAACAAACCTTCACCCTCACCCTACACCCCAGCTACAGATATTCACCACCGTCACAAGGGTGGTAAAGTTACTGTGTAAGAACACAAGAACAATCTTGCAGGTTTGAGACTGGCCTTAGGTTTAGCATTTTGTTTCTTACAGTGGCCGGTCAGCTCCTCCACAAGGAATGAATATGTACCCTTTGCCATCATTGTTCCCCTGGTATTTGCTACCCCCAGCTCAGAGATAAAAGTGAGTCTTCAAGATGAATAGCTCTTGACAGACCTGGTCCTTAAGAGCTGTGACTGTGAATGGAGTTAAAAGCTTTGTGTTAAAATCTGTGTTAAGTGCCTTTTATATCCATTTCTGAAGTACCACATCTGAATTCTCCTGCTTTTGTTACTGCTAATTATGTGGGCTAATGCTGTAAATGGTACTTAGGAGTGGAGATCTATAGGTATGTGGGGGGGAGAGGGTGCTCCTGATAACTTTTTAAAATATATATTTTTATTAAACATTTTTTTAAAAATGGAAGATTAAAAACTAGTACAACCTAATATAAAATAAGAAAAAGAAATTAAAGAGAAAGCCAAATGTGCAAGGAAGGAAAAAAAGTAAAAAAGTAGCTTTCAATCTTCTTTACAGCAATTTATAAGCACAATCATAAAATTGCCTCTTATTCTATGGTTACAACATATCTGTTTTATTTCTATAATTTCTCCTATTATAAAAACCATAAATTATTTTTTTCTGTTTTACACAAAATGTGCATAAGGGGTTTCCAGTCAGCAATAAGCATAGATAGATATTGGAGTGTAAGCATTTGCAAGCAATAGATGCTCACAAAGGGACAAAGGGAGACAAGTGATAACATGTGTTTGTGACATCAGGATAGGAATCCCATAATTTATGTACTTGCATCAAACATAAAGCAATTAGATAACTTGGGAGTTGCATCTTAACATTATTATGAATGTGTTGTCATTTTAGTGTAATTTTGAGTTGCTTTGAACATTTGTATTTCAGATTCCTTCCAGGTTTAGCAGTTCTAAGTCAGTTCTAAGTAATTTAAGCTGTGAACTTTTGTTTAGACAAACCCAAAATATTTTATGCAGCAAGGAGAAATTTCAGTGATTGCTGGCATTTCTTTAGGATAGGCTTCCTAAAATCTTGTTCCTTGCTTATTAACTAGAGAGGATAGGACTCACCACAGAAGTGCTAGAACTTGAGAATGTAAACACTTTGGAAGAAAGTTGTTTCTTTTTAACTGGGCTGCACTTCTGTTCACAAATTCTTGTATCATTTTCAATGTAGAGACGTGAGTTGGGTATATTTCACCTCATGGGAGGTTCCAGGAAGGAACTATCCTCATGAAAATGGGACACCTTGTCCCACAAACATATCCAAATGGAGTGTTCTTATTATGGGGAAAAAAGAGGGTGATTGTATCATGCTCTGATAGACCTGATCATTGTTTGCTTAACTTTAGGTCCTTACCTAAGCATAGGTTTAATTAACATGGGCAAGAGAAGGCACACATTTGTTTACAAACCATGATAAGTATTGAGATCTTTGGTTGTGTTTGTTTTGGTTCACCTATCTTTGAAATCATGTTTTAATCATATGCTTTTCTTGTACTTCCCCAGATTATACTTTGATAATGCACAGTTTTAGGGTTCCACTTGCCTCTGATTATGTGTGGAGGGAATGAAAAGTACAACATTAGATTAGCTTCATCCCTTTTGACATTCTGGAAGACTCTCAAAACTTGGTAAGGTTACCAAGCCTAGGGCTCCCGGGAAACCGGAGATAGATGGCTCCATTGTAATGGCCATTTTTATTTCTCTCCACCTAGGGATTTGTATATTTGTTTTTAATATTGTTTATTTTTTAATGTAGATTTTTACATTTTTTATACCAGTGGTGGTTGTATCTGTGGTTGTATCTGATTGTTGTGTGCCACCCAGAGTCACTTTTGACTCTTTTTTTTTCAAATTTAATTAATAAATAGGTACATCACAAAAATATTCCATCGTATTATTTTCCTGGGCAATCTGTCTAGGCAACATTCTCAGTGATCAAAAGGATGGGTCTGAGCTATCCAGTCATAATATCCTATCAGGGGCTTCTCCAATCCGGTATACCCCAGATATGTTTGCTTGATACTGCAGTTCCCGGTATCCTCAGCCAGGTTGAGGAGGCCTGCTAACAAACCCACTCAACTTTAAAGGCTCACTCTGCAGTAATAATTCTTTTTAATAATAATAATAATGATAATGATAATGATAATAATAAAGGTGGAAGGGACCTTGGAGGTCATCAAATCCAACCCCCTGCTCAGGCAGGAAACCCTATACCATTTCGGACAAATGGCCATCCAGTCTCTTCTTAAAAACTTCTTTTCTTCAGCTCTGTGTATCAGAAATAGAGCATAACCTATTTTACTTTCAGTGCGTAATCCATACATTTTCTCTCCTAGTATGCTGTCTGGAATTTTGATTGTCTTGTTGAGTGTTTTGAAATGGCAGTGGGTAATTTATTGAATTCATGTGTGGAGTGTTGGTTCAGCTTATCAGATAGGGGCGAGCCATGCAAAAACTGATCGATGAATGTCACCTTTTATTTGCTAGCTGGTGGGCATGATAATTGGAGGGAATGAGCGCACATATGGTGGAAAGTTTAGTTGTGCAAACCAGATGCAGCAAAGTCCCTAAGAAAAGTGTAACTGTGCATCTCTACCACTCCCATTAACTTCAATGAGGTGCATTTCTCAATTTCCAGCTCTCTCCTTTTTCAGGCTCCTGGAAATTAATTTGATGGTAGGGAAATAATTTACGAGGATTTAACTTTACGAGATCACTGCAATCCAACAATTATATAAAAAGTGGAGCTTAATTCCTGGTGGCTGCACAGATCTATCTAGGGAGATTGGAGGTGGCTGACATGGCTTTATTTTGAATGATTGTATATCTTTGAAAGAACAGAGGTGAAAAAAAGGAAAGGCTGAGAATAAAGAAAAATAGGAGAAAGTGGCAGGAAAGGCAGACTCTGAAACATCTCAAGAGACTGCCAGGGGAGAGGGCGATCCGGAGTGGGAAAATGGAAGAACACTGCATATTATTGAGTTGTTCTGGGCTCCAGAAATTTGAGAAGGCTCAAGCAAAGAGTGGGGAAGTGGGCAATTTTGCATGTGTTTCACTAAAGAGAAGGAGTAGCTAATGATTGGAGAGGGGAGGTGGGGGCCGCGATGGGGGAGAGACACACAAAGAGAAACAGGTAAGACAGGACTGGGGAAAAAGATGCAGTTGTTCTCAAAATGGAGTAGAAAAAATATCCCAAAGAAGTCTGAACAATTAGGGAAAACACCTATCCTTTGCATTCCCTGTAGATGCCAAGTGTGCGTTTATGTATTTAAAGAAAATTGTCCTGGAGTTTGTCTGTTTTTATTCTGAATTGTTAGAGAATCTCAACAAATATGATATGTCCCCTAATTTAGACAAGTCTCCAAAGTATCTGTTGATTCTAAAATATTCTGTCAAGAGAAGGTCAAGTGAGTTATACATAGTTATGAAAATGAATTCTTCTTTTTCCCCATGCTGGATCAAGAGTATCTGGATTTTTTTCCCCATTCCTATCATTTTAGCTATATGTTCATCATGACAATCATGGATTATTTGGGGAAAGGGTAAATGTTACACTTATAAGTTTTCCTTTAAAAAAAACAACTAGAAATATAAGATCTACCAAATAGAACATCAGGTAAAACATAGACTCTTAAGGACAAGTTGTATTAAATACAAATCATGAAACTGTCCTTCTAGTTTTACTCTACTGTAAA